CGCGGTGCGACCAAATTCGGAGGGCGGATTAGCCGTATTTACATCGAACCTTATGGGGAAATTTGCCTCGCGGTGCGACCAAATTCGGAGGGCGGATTAGCCGTATTTACATCGAACCTTATGGGGAAATTTGCCTCGCGGTGCGACCAAATTCGGAGGGCGGAACGGATTAACCGTATTTACATTGAACCTTATGGGAAACTTTACCTCAACTTGAGACCAACTCGAGTTGCAACCAGAGTCACGGAACAGATTAAGTTCGTAACTAGAGGTACCACTGTATTATATAACATATGTTTATATAGCATAATATATAATACAATAAATATAAAAATATAATATAATAAAAATATAAATATAAATAAATAAAAACATAAAACTTCTTAGTTTTGTGGAAACTTTCCATGAACACATTTAAAAGCCTCTTTGGCCAGAATAGGAGTCACACCCCAATAACAGTAATGCGGAAAGGTCTGGAAAAAAAGCATTCTGAGGCAGGGAAATTGTTTTAGCCCCTCTCCTATGAAATCACAACTTTGGATGGCTAATGAAACTAATGAGGTAGCAGATTTAGGGCAGAGGGAAGAGGAAACACCACCAGGTGACATGCGGTAAACACCTATGGAACTCAATGCCTCAAGATGTCTGGAAACAGACCTTAATTCAGATACCTTGGAAACGGGTTCAGAAAAATGTGATGCTTTTAGCCCAGAAGAATGAGTTCCAGGGTTTAGGACTTCCCAGCTACTGAAGAAAACACAGATGTCCTTTGCATTGACCAGCAAATCCTTCCCTACCCACAGAGGACCGAATTACGCAATCTACTAGCCAGCATAATCAAATGGAGCCTTGGCATCGCGGGTGGACTTCAGCTCCCAGAATCCCCAGCAAGCATGCTGCCTGGAGAATTCTGGGAGTTAAAGTCCACCCATCTTAAAGGTGCCAAGTTTGAAAAACACTGTTTAAAACTGTTCACATCAGTGGTTTTAAGCCTTGCAAGCAGCCCAGAGTGGGTGGCCCTGGAAATTGAAATTATGAATGAGGATTTCAGTCATTTTAATTTCATTTCATCTGGGGTAGCTGCAGACCCACCATATGCCCAGCGGCTTGGCAGCTGCCTTCTGCCATCAAGAACTTACCATTCAATTTTCCATATTGTAAGCCTACTTAACAATAAAACAGCAATATGAGTTCACCTAAACTCTTCCTGGCATGTTGTTTAGGCGGCCACTCCTTCGGGGCACAGCTTACCAAACTCCAGACATTAATGTTTTCCCTTCCTAGGATTAGCCATGGATCCCCTTAGAAACACAACGTATTCATCAATTCCCCTTTTATTCTGGCTGGAAACGCAACCTTCTCCTCAAGAATGAATTTTACCGCTTTGATAGCAGTAGCTGTGATAGGTTTAGCGGCTTCCACCGACTCGATTGTGACCCTGTCAGAATTCTCCAAGCTGTATTGTTTCCGGAACCGCTGCTGCAGATCTTGCACCGTGAAATTGAGCTTGGCGTAAGAAACGGGCTTCTCCTGGGGGAAAAGAAAAGAGGAAGAATCAGTGGGGATGTCCCAGGGACACCTAGAAACTAGAGCAGACAGCCGGACAAGAAGGACGGGGAATCTTTCCCCCCAGCTGAGTTGAAGTGCACTCCACCTTTCCAAGTCAGCAGAAAATTAAAACATCTAAAAAATTTGCCATCCCAAGATGCGCAGTGTTTGGATCCAAAGTGGACACGGGTGCTTCGGACCCAGTGCAGGCACCCTCTTTCAACCTGTCTGCTGCTCCTTAAAACAAATGCACGTTTACTGAGCATGAAGGAGAGGTTGCTCCCTGCTGCTACCTTCTTGACTGAAACCTACTTTTCCTGAGCTCACATGACTATGGGCCAGCCAGGAAAAAGTGTGGAGGAGGGTTGTTGCCTGTGTCACCAGGTCAGATAGGGTGGGTATCCTCCAGGTCCCTTCCCTTAAATATGGTCATCTAGTGCAGGGTTCCTCAACCTCAGCAACATGGCTGGCTGGGGAATTCTGGGAGTTGAAGTCCACCCATCTTAAAGTTGCTCATGTCAGGATCTACGCAAGCTAGAAATCTTAGTTTCTTTTAATTTAGACCAGCAATG